CACTTACGCAGAGACAATTTCTTCTGTGTTGATAAATTTTGTATATGATACAGCCTTCCTATGGCCTTTGAAGACTGTTATTGGCTTGGTTGTGTTTCGTAGATCATAATAATGGACGCAGTGATCTGTGAAGAGAAACTTCAAAGGTTATGAAGGGAATATCTAGCCCGAGTACTGTCAAGAGTGCAGGGTTTTCGGTAACATTAGGAAGTACCGGATGCAGTGGTTCAGCTGGCATGTCCCCCGGGAAATTTGTACAATTGGACTTTCTTAAATGCAACTTCCTGCGTTCCCTGAGATGAAGTACAAATGAAAAGTGAGCAATACTGATTCAGACAGATGCTCTCTGATCAAAGGTCAGGGTTAGCTGTCGTCGAATTTGTCTGGTCAGTGATAGCTGGTACGGAAGGGGGAAAGGGATGAGGAATGATGAGTTATGATTTTATTATACATGTATATGACATGAATTATCTCTATCGTTTCGATTGTATGTATTACATAACTAAGTGAGTAAAATAAGGGTCAAGTCTTTCTTTGTTTAATAAATGGAAAAAACGATTTTCACTCTTGGTGTGTGAACTATCAGACGTTACAAGTCAAACAACCGGGCGTTGCGTCCGGTGTCCGGCCTGAAACGAAACCCCTGAGAGTGAGCCTGCTTGTCTTGTTTGCACTTTAGAGATTTGATCCAATAAAATGTTGTGTTCTGAACTTGAGTAAACCTTTTATTCTAGGCAAGTTTAACCTGCTGGTGGTAGAAATAGAAGGGAAGGTTGAGGGCTTTGAACTGAGCCTACTGAAAAATGTTAGGCATAACTTATCTGACCCTACAGAAGGGTACCTTGTGAATGTAGTTTAAATTCTTAGGAAAAGGTTTCCGGGCTGGGCCCAGTTGTTCAAAGGGGGCATAACGCTATCCAACGGATAAATCGCTATGCAGTGGATAAGTGTTCACAAAACGTACTGCGCTATCCACTGGATAGACATTTATCCAGTGGATAGCGTTATCCATCTTTCGAACAACTGGGGCCAGATGGATACTGTACAAACTACATACCTGCAGAACCGAAGGATAGGTGACATCTACTTT